GAACAGTGACGTAAGGGCCACGAATGTGTACGTGACTTTGTTTTTGGCGTAGAGCGCCGCATAACAACTGATAAGGCTTATTGACGAGTCTGCGCAATGGCGCAGGGCTTCGATGGTGCTGACCGGTGATGCATGCGATGGCCTGTACAGGTTCATGATTGCTTGGTGATAGGCGATTTGGAACCATTCAGGTGTTTGGTGCATGGATGTTGGGACCAAGTAACGAGGGGCCGAGATGAGCCATTGGTTTAGTCTGGTATGGTGTTGAACTCGGATAACGTCAATGTTGCTCCCTTCAAGATTCGTGTCTCCGGCGGAGTGCAGGGACTTATAGATATCGGCATTGATGCGGCGGAGCTCGATGATGTGAAGGAATGTTGACAAATCGTTCACATCGGGGCCGAATCTCAACGGTGTTTCTTGAGATGGGTTGGCGAGAACGTCATCGGAGAGAGATAAGGGTAGTGGCATAGTAATATCTGCATCTTGGATCCCGAGGGGAAGGCCGAGAGACATTGAGATGCCCCGATCCATGGTGTAGACGCACCAGAAAAGCCTCTTGCACATTTCTGCTTCAAGAGGTTCCTTGGAGGTGATTGTCTCGATGCGATGAAGATTCATGCCTACAGCAAGCCGTAGGGCTAAGCCTATCGCATGCCATAAGTTGACCGACTGAGGCTCATTGTTGCCATAAATGCAGAGTAACAAGAGACACTGAATGCTGTCAAAGTCATCCGTTGCTAGCGCACCTCCCAGGCTGGCGGTGGCCGACTGGAAGAAGTCATCTTGCAACTGCCTATATCGCTCATCTGTGCGGGCTCTTTCCGATGCTGCGATCGCCAGGACGATGTTGACTTGGAATAGGGACAAGTCACCGACTGCCTCGCCTTGGGAGAAGGGCAAATAGTGTTTCTCAAGAAATGTGAGTTTGTGTAGGGCAGGGAATTGAGGCCATCGACGACTGAAAAAGCCCTCAATCAAGTAGTTGTTGTCCTGTAGGCTTGAGTGTATCACAGATACGGGACCTTCCGGCGTTCGTCCGGTCGAAACACCATCCCACAGACGGGACGGGCTGTTTAGAAGACTCTCTTCTCCAGTCCTTGATGTCCCTGTTCCTGAAAATGTAGGACGTAGAAGACGATGAGTGTGTATTCCTTCTAAACCGTGCCCTTGCTGTGATGCATGGTGACTGGTACCTGTATCCAGGTCATTCGCAGTCGGTGGGTGTAATGAGTCCGTTGCAACATCTCCGTTGGCAACCGCAGCCATCAACGCCTCCAGCTGCGCGGTGAGATTCTCCACTTGACTTCGGAGCCGGTCACATTCGCAGTCAACATTGGCTACACGGACAAGGAAACGCTCCGAAGGTACGCATGGCGTGCCTGCCGCCGAGCATTGCCCGCATATCGGAAGTTGTCCGTCGCACTTTGCATGAGCCCCTGTCAGTTGCTAGACATCTTCGGGATGGTGAAGTCGGAGCCCTTCTTACCTTTTGTTTTCTTCTCCGACACCTCTCGCACGCTGCGACTCCACGTTTGAGCCCCCGCCGATGGGTTGTTGAGCGTGTCCGGGGGTTGGAGCTTGGCGTCGGGATATTGTCGGCCTGAGCCGGTGATGAAGATGGAGAGGCCCCGTCGGCGGTCGTGTCTTCAGCCATGGATGGTAAAGACTATAACGCTCTCACTTCAATTCAATCTTAGTTTCTTCCATTCATGAGAAGTTCGTCGCGATCGCATTCCGGGGCATACTGTCTTCGGTCTGAGAAGGACAAGAGCCTGTGAAAGAATTCGGGGTCACTCCGTCGGATCGATCCGAAGACCCCGTGCAGAGAGTGGGGCTTCGCTGCCTTCGGGAAAACGCCGCTGATGACGGGCTTTACTCGTTCGCACCTCACTGTCTGTAGCAAGTGTGTGGGATGTACCTGCGCGTCATGTTGGCTGCTGCGTCTCCTCAGAAGAATTCCAGAATATCAACTGCCTTTTCTGTCCTCAATAGGCAAAAACCAAGTCCAGGTAGGGCTTTTGCTAGTAAGGCCACAATGAAGTAAGTTATCGGATCCAACACTGAGCTGATTCCTAACTCTCTCAAGCCCACCCAAACCGAAATCGGCCCCGCCATGTCTCTCGGCCGACTGCTGGGACACGCATGTTCATGTCTTTGACTCAGCAATCGGACCCTTCGCAGCATCCCGGGCTTACACCCCGGCCCAAGCGACCCTTCAGCAACTTTTGGACTTCAGTTCAAGTTTGACAAAAGACAAAGCGCTCAACATTGTGTTGGTTCAGCCATCGCCATATGGCAGCGATAACACTGTTCTACAGCGTTTGCTCCGAAAGCTTCGCGATGACGGGGCACAGTCTCCTCGAGCTATTGCTGTCGTCGACATTGCAAGCATCAGCGACGAAGAACTTTGGTCAATGCACAATTTAGGCGTTCGAGGTCTCCGGATCAATATGCAGGCCGATGGAAAGAGTACCGATGTTGAAGCTCTCCGCAGGGTGGTGATCGAAACAGCCGCAAGGATCAAGGCCCTCCCTAACTGGAAGATTCAACTCTTTTGCGCTGCATCAATATGGGATGATCTTTTTGATACGATATCAAAGCTTCCAGTCGAGGTCATCGCCGACCATGTAGGCGGACTGCGGGGCTCCTCTAAGCTAGAGCCAACCAGTGGAACGCAGGCGATTGATCCGACCGAACAGCCCGGGTTCGGGTCTCTGGTCAGACTGGCTGAAGCTTCAAAAGTGATCATCAAAATCTCAGGGCTGTATTGACTCTCAAGCCGTGCAGAGTCCGGATACGACGACATGGAGCCGGTTATCAAGGCCTTGGCCGAGAGGGTACCTGATCGGTTAATTTGGGGCAGTGACTGGCCACACACCGGCGAAGGCAAGGATCGCTTGAAACGAGGGAAAGATGCCATCGAGGAGTTCCGAGTAATCGACAATGATCTGATTGTAAGAAATCTCAGAAATTGGATCGGAAGCGAGGAGACATGGGGGAAGGTCACGGTGAGAAACCCGCAGAAGTTTTATGAGTAGCGAAACACCCCTGTTCAAACCACAATTTCGTCGAGACTATGTGTTTCGCCATCAAAAGCATCACTTCTTTCAGATTGGCAACGGGCAGCAAGTCATTCATGAGTGAGGTTGGAAATATTACACCGATGAACGCGGCAATCATTGAAGGCGCCTACACGCAAACCCGGCATTGAGGTATCGGATGTAACCGAAGAGCCAAACTCGGAGACCGGAAACACGGGCTAAACCCGTCTCGGTTACTGCGTTGCACTCCATCCGGATTTCATCCCCTTAATGCTCAGTGAGTGCCTTCTGGTGAATCAATCTTTGACAACCAATTTCACTGGCATAATGGCTTCAATCAGAGCTTTAAGCGGCCGAAGCGCCCGCCCGCTAGCACAATTCACCACATCATCAGTTCGCTTCTCTTCAGCGGCTTCAATATCCACCAAGCGCCAAACTCGCGCCCAGAGCAGTTTGCCAGCAGCCTACTACCGCGGCGGCACATCCCGGGCCATCTTCTTCCGCCAAGAGGACCTTCCGGCCGACCGCTCCGAGTGGGACCGCATTCTCCTCGGCAGCATCGGCAGCCCGGACCCATACGGCCGGCAACTCGACGGTCTCGGCGGCGGCATTTCCAGTCTGTCCAAAGTCTGTGTCATCAGAAAGAGCGATCGGCCCGATGCAGATGTCGACTACACATTTGTCTCTCTCGGCATCAAGAATACGAATGTCGACTACTCCAGCAACTGCGGTAACATGAGTGCCGCTGTAGGACCATACGCGGTGGATTCCGGTCTTGTTGAAGTGCCCGACGGAGCGACGGAGGCGACCGTTCGGGTTTTCAACACCAACACGGGCAAAGTTATTGAGTCCATCTTCCCTCTTGATGGGAAGGAGGCCGCCGCCCATGGTGACTTTTCTATCGATGGCGTCGCGGGCACGGCGGCGAGGGTGCAGCTTAAGTTTCTCAACCCGGCTGGGTCACGGACTGGCAAGCTATTCCCCACGGAGGCCAAGGTAGATGAGGTTGAGGGTATGAAGGTCACTTGCATCGATGCTGGTAATCCTTGCGTCTTCGTCCAGGCTGCGACTCTTGATGTAGAGGGAACCATCACTCCTCAGGGAATTGAGGATCACCCAACATTATTGCAGACATTGGACAAGATTCGCCGAACCGCTGGTGTGAAGATGGGTCTGGCCGAAACCAAAGAAAAGGTGCCTGGAAGCGTGCCGAAAATCGCGATCGTGTCGCCACCAAAGGATGGAAAGATCAACACCCTCGTCGCGCGGGCGATGTCGGTCGACCAGCCTCACAAGGCCATTCCAGTCACTGTTGCGCTGGCTGCAGCGGCAGCTGCCACCGCAGAGGGCACAGTTGTATCTGAGTGTGTCAAGACAAACGCTGGGGCTGGCGGTGATGTGAGGATATTCCACGCGAGTGGGACTCTGGATGTAGCTGCGGATTATGGGAAGGATGGGTCTCTGGAGTCTGCGACCGTATATCGAACCGCACGCAGGCTCATGGAAGGAAGGGTGTTCTGGAAGTGAACTATTTTGGCGTTGACTCGTACAAATGAGACTATGCAGGAACCAGGCGAGCCAATAATGTCAGTCGCTAAACATAGTTGGAGTCACACATTCGTTCAGCTTCTCAAACGATTGGCTGCTCCAAATGGCCAGGAAAAGTGCGTTTAGATCAGGGTAGCACATATTGTGTCAGCATGCAGTTGCATCCCTTACTTCATGAAAGCCTAAGGCCTCAAATCAACCAACCTCTGTTTCCCCTCTTTTTGGACGTCGTCCTTCTTTCTCATCCGCTGTTTTGACTCTTGTGTGCTCCATGGGTTTTACTCACTCCTGTGTCGTTACTGGTAGTCAAAACGCAGTCACTGTACAAGCTCAAGATGTGGCTGATCGACACCAGCGATCTTGAGTCTCTTCGTCTTGTGGAGTTCCTGGGAGACCCTCCCAATAGCTATGCTATTTTGTCCCACACTTGGAGTTCCGATGAGGTGACATTTGAGCAATTCAATGATCTACAATCGTCGTCACTTCGGCTTGATGAAATCCAGCTGGATCACGGAGATAACAGTCTATTCAGTTCCAGTGGTTTCCAAAAGATTAAGGGAGCAGCGATTTTGCCGAAAAGACAGGGATTTACATACCTATGGGTTGATACATGCTGCATCAACAAAGCCAGCAGCGCCGAACTATCTGAGTCTATTAACTCGATGTACCGATGGTATCAGCAAGCGAAAGTATGCTTCGCGTATCTTTCAGATGTCAGTTTTAGCTTAGCCCAAAACGCGAACGAAACGAGGTCCGCATTTAGGAGCAGCCGTTGGTTCACCAGAGGTTGGACATTACAAGAACTCATCGCGCCCCGGGTTGTGGAATTCTATGCTTCTGACTGGTATTACATTGATGCAAAAGCAGTAAGTAACAAATCTCACCCCAAAGGCATCATTGTCCTCACACGACACAGGCTGGAAATTATGCATTTTGTGGGATCTTGTCTGACATTACTGGCATTGACCTTGATATTCTCGCCGGCAGGATGGCCTTACACGACGCCAGTATAGCCGACAAGATGCGCTGGGCTGCCAAGCGCGAAACCAAGCGCAGGGAGGACATCGCCTACTGTCTTCTTAGGTTGTTCGATGTCAACATGCCTCTACTGTATGGAGAAGGCTCCAAGGGCTTTATACGTCTTCAGCAAGAGATATTGAGAGAGACAAACGACCAGTCTATATTTCTTTGGGCAATAGAACCCCAAGGCGCTTCGGCAATCGACAATCTCCACGGACTACTTGCTAGCTCCCCCGAGTCATTCTCACGCCTTGAGATGAATAACGTTCGCCCGATGCCACCATTAGAATCGAACGAGAGCGTGCCAGCCAGTATCACAAGTCAAGGTCTCCGGACAAGTATGCAGCTCATCCCAATTGTCCCCGAAGGAGACGAATATTTTGCCGTGCTGGACTGCACGGTTTCCACGCCTTCGACACCTGTCGCAAAACAAGCGCCTTGTATATTTCTCAGGCGCCTATGGGCGACCAATTTGCTCGTATTCCTTGGATGGTACCTTACGGTGTGCAATTTGTGCAAAACAACCTGGATGGGTTTCAGCGAAAGGGCGCAATCATCACAATCTACGTTAAACAAACCCCATTCTACATTCTGCCGGAAATTGAAATCAGAACATACGCACAGGGCGATTACAGCGACGTTGTGTCTTCTCCAATCTCGATCATGGAGGCGTATCCGCCAGATCGATTCAGCACGACCCAGTCCATCGTGCGGACTGGTGAGCCCAAGTCAGGTCAAACCATTGTCATACTGCGATTCGGAGGTCAGCTACTTAAGCCCCTGTTTGATCTTTCTGTTGGCCTGTTACGCATCGGAAAGCAATGGGAAGTGCAGTATAAGAAGCACCCGTACATCGACACTCAGCTCAAAGAAGTATATCTAAAGAACCCGCAACTTGGGGTTGAGTCTGGAACAGAAGTATGCGACAAATCTGGAGACGCAGGGCTTCTGACCATCCATACGACGGAACAAAACCAACGTGGCAGACGGTTCGTACAATTGGAGGTCTTCTTTACGCAGCAGCCAAATCCCGCCACTTTGACAAATGGGACCGGGTACGCGATCGTGAACGCGGAAGCTGCCATTACAAAAGCGAGCTTTGTGACAGATATTGCCGAACTGGTCGCATCAGCAACACGCAAATGCTGCTATCAGGATACCCTATGCCGAATAATTTCCAATCCTTCACAGTCCCCAGACGGAGTCAGAACAAGACCAGCGGAACGAGGTCGGGATTTTGCAGCAAATTTGACCTTGGATGTCATCAACCATGACAAACCATACGCAGATATGGTTCGCGCTATACATGAGAAGGATCTATCCAAGATCAAATCCTTGGCCGCTGAGAATAAAGCTCTGATTGAGTGTCAGGCGGAAGAATTCGACGACTTTCGACCTATTCACTGGGCCGCTGCTCAGTGGACTTCTCAAGATAAATTCCGGATCATCAAAAAGCTGATCAACCTGAAGGCAGACGTCAGAAGTCGGACCAGAGGCGGATGGATGGCTATACATCTAGCCATCTTGACCGAGAACTTTCCAGTTGTGCTCTATCTTTTGGAAAAGTCTAGACGGTCGCGTGGCGAGTGGGACTTAACAACTGTAACAGGGGAAACCCTCTCGCACTTGCTTGCCGCGTATGCACAAGACCTGTCGTGGGGCGATAAACATTGGATGTCGAATACCTCCAAGGGCAAGGTCATAGACGCCTTGGTCATCAAGCGCATGGCAGAAACTCGGGTGAATTCCCGTGGTGAGCTGCCTATCCACAGGGCTGTTGCCAATGGGAAAACTGCTGCGTTAGAAATTGGCAAGCTACTGGAGACTGCTGATATCAATGCCGCAGACAATGCTGGTCGCACCGTGCTATTTCATGCGGCTTGTGGTGGAAGCAGGCAGATCATTGAGAGGATAACCAATATGGGAGCTTCACTTGAGACGGCCGACTCTCACGGTCGGACTCCGGCGCATGCTGCTGTCATGGCTGGCCAGCCTGACGCTCTCGGTATACTGCTAGACTTGAACGCCGACCCAGACGCGACGACTACTGCTATCGGACTAACTCCTCTTCATTTCGCATGTCTTTATGGATTCTCGGACTGTGTTGCAAAGCTACTAAATGGTCCGAAACCTGCCGCGTTGAATTCTTGGTCAACGGATGGTGCATATTTCCAGCCTATACACCTCGCCGTCGCAAATCAACATGCAAGTTGTATCGAAGAGCTTTTCAAGGCTAGCTGTAGCATCGACGGCAGTTGTAACAGCTATTTGAAACTAAAGGAAGCACAGAACGAATGTTTAGAGGAGGCCGAAGTGGTATTTCTCCCCAAGCTTATGGCACCGCTCGAGCTTGCCATGTTTTTGGGAAACAATGAAATAGCTTCCTTGTTGTCGGCATTATCCAAAGATACCGTACACGTGCGGCCGTTTTATTAGATTACTTTTGTCGTTTGATAGACATGTCAAGCTGTTCTGGCTGAGATCACAGCGTAACTTCGTCGGATTGACATCTCAATAGACATGAGAAGGTCAGAAGAATCGGTTTTACGATCTTCAAATGTGTACATCCCCGGGAAAGCCACTATGATGACTTCGGTAGGCCCTAGAAGTGAAGTTATGGAATTTTGAAGGGAGCCTCGTAAAGTAATTTCCAGATAGGAACACGGCGCCTGAAAAGACAACTTATGTACGTGGGGATAAACAACTCATCCCACACAAGGACCCTGACAGATATACGCAGGCGGCAACAAGGTCAGTGACCCTGATAGTCGGTTTGGCAAGGATATCGCTACAGGGGTGGCCACGTCACACAGCACTGGCGACCTTACTGGTAGGTTCAGCGAGGTATCATTGGTACGAGGCTAAAAACATCCCTTATAGTAAAGCATCTTTCTCCTATTTCCTCTTCGCCATCAGGTTCAGTGCACTTCCTTCTCTGAAGTACTCAATCTGCTCGCCTGTCAATGTGTGGCTCAGCTCGATGCTGAACCTTTCTCGACCTGCTGTTGTTGGCGTAATCCTGACCTCAACGGTCTTCCCTGGTTGCAAATCCTTGATACCTACAATACTAATGCGGTCAGGAGAGCTGATCCGTTCATAGTCGCTTTCCTTCACAAACTTCAGCGCCAGCAGTCCTTGCTTCTTCAGGTTCGTCTCGTGGCTTCTCGCAAAGCTCTTGGCCATGATAGCCACGCATCAGAGGTAGCGAGGCTGCAATGCTGCATGCTCACGGGATGAGCCTTCTCCGTAGGTATGGTCACCAATCACGACCCAGGGCTGCGACGCCTCTTTATAAGCCCGCGCCGTACCAGGAACGTCACCCTCTTCACCGGTCAACCAGTTCTTCACTTGATTGACCTTTCCCGTTTCGGCATTCACGGCTCCAATCAGGGTGTTGTTTGAGATGTTCCCAAGGTGGCCACGGTAGGCGAACCACGGGCCAGCGGGCGTGATATGGTCTGTTGTGCATTTGCCCTGAACCTTGATCAGAATAGCACAATTTTCAAAGTCCTTTCCGTGCCAAGGCTCAAACGGGGCCAGTCTCTGGAGGCGCTTGGATGTCTCCGCAATCTGCAGTTCGACTCCGTCACGGCCTGTCGTTGGTGGAGGACTGTAGGCGTAGTCCGTGTTGGCCTACCCACGAGATGGCAAAGCTTCTCCACCTGGAGGCGTGAACTTGAATTCAGAGCCTGAAGGGGTAACAATGGAGTCCGAAGTGGGGTTGAAACTCAGATCGTCAGAGAAGATCTTCGCCATAACCATTTCTGGTGAGGCTAGGAAGATGTGAGTGGCTGGGTTTCCGTCAAGACGGCCAGTGAAGTTGCGGTTGTAGGATGTGAGAATAGAGTTCTTGACGCCCTGATTTCGGAGTTAGCATATGCGCTTGAGCTCCAGCCAACATTGAGCAGCTTGCCTTCTCCATATCCTGACGATCCCAAGAACCACAACACGGCCCACAAGCATTCGTCAATAACTTTCTTCCAAGCTCCTCAAACACCTGGAGTACCCCATTCTCCTGCGGTGTCTTCCTCGTTTGCTCAATTCCGGGAGACACAAAGAGTGGCATCTTCGGCTGAAGCCCGGCATCCATCGCCTGTTTCGCCAGCTCCGCGGCCCTCGACATGTCTTGAAACGAGGAATTCGTGCAAGAACCAATGAGTCCTGCGGTCAAGTCCTTTGGCCAACCTTCCTTGTCCACGGCATCTGACAGCTTTGAAATTGGCGTTGACAGATCAGGTGTGAATGGTCCGTTGATGATGGGCTCCAGCTCAGAGAGGTTGATGTCGATGATTCTATCATACTGGGCATCTTCATCCGCGCGCAATTCAGAAGATACGAAGCGAACTGCATCAGCGATATCGTGGCGGTGGGTCGCTTGCAAATACGATCTCACCGCCTCGGAATATGGGAAAATCGAAGTTGTGGCTCCCGTCTCAGCGCCCATGTTGCAAATTGTTGCCATGTCAGTAGCAGACAAAGACTCTTCCCGGGCCGAAGAACTCGATAATAGCTCCAGTTCCACCTTTCACAGTAAGAATGCCCGCCAACTTATTGATGACATCTAGATGCTAGGTCAGAAATCATGGAAGCATAAGGTCGCTTTGAAGCACTTTTACTCACCCTTGGGTGTAGCCCATCCCGACAGCCGTCCCGTCAACCTCACCCCAATGATATGCGGTGCAGTCAACTCGAAAGGCAGCCCAGCCATCACGTCCACAGCGTCGGCTCCGCCTACGCCAATTGCAATCATCCCCATTCCGCCCGCATTGGGGGTGTGTGAGTCTGTGCCGACCATCATGCCTCCTGGGAAAGCATAGTTCTCAAGAACAGTTTGATGGATGATTCCAGCGCCAGGTTTCCAGAAGCCCATGCCGTACCTCTTACACGCACTTGACAAGAAGTCATAAACTTCCTTATGCGTGCTCAGGGCTTGCGGAAGGTCTTCATCCTGGCCTGTCCTGCCGACGATAAGATGGTCGCAGTGAACAGTCGTAGGCACGGCAGTGGAGTCGAGACCAGCTGACATGAACTGGATGATTGCCATCTGAGCTGTCGCATCTTGGCATGCGATTCGCCGAGAACGTAGTTTCAGCTGCGTCTTGCCACGGTGGAGGGGCTCGTCGCCGATGTTGTCGGCATGAGCGAAAAGCACCTTCTCTGAATACGTCAGGGGTCGCCCAAGTCTGTGGTAAGGGTCAACGCGATGTTCAAGAATCTAGGATGCAGACTTACATCTTTCGACTTGACTCAATTCGACGCGTGAGGTCGGCATAGTCAATTGTATGGTCGGTCTCAAATCGACTCAGTCTTGCTTTGGAGCTGGTCGAGCTCACTGATGCCAGGCCTCTTCTGAGACTAACATGCTGCTGGTGGGGTGAGCCTCTTGATAGGCGCGGCAAGGGTCTGGATGCGTGGAGGTACATCTTGGACTCGGCATTGACTGACTAATACCACGGTTTGTATTCGCCAATCGTGCGACAGGTAATTCTTTTCAAATAATTCGTCTTGGGGTGTTTTTGAACATTGCAGGGGGCGAATATGACTGCGAGGGCGGTTGATCGGAGCGTTCCGATGCTCCTCAAGCAAGCGGAGGACCGTCGGCTCTAGCCGGAGATGACCCAACTGCTCTGCACTCTAGCTAGGCACATAATGACTACGAGGCGACGATGCTTTCACTCAATTAAATGACCCAACAAAATCATTGATATTCCAGGCGTATTGCGTGCATGTGAAGCCACTCCTTGGTCCATGTAATTATCCTGGTCCGGCCTAATCACCATCGACGCCGGTGACACGCTCTCGGACTTCTGCATTGATCTTCTTCATGACCCTGACCAAAGGTGCGAAATCGCACTCCTCCTGAGCCGCTGTCTCGATACTCTGGGCAACGCGGTCTAGCAAGTCCAGATCAGCAGTCGCATTCTCCTCGAGACCCGGAGCGTTGATCATGTTGCTAGCGATGTGGGCATATGCAATATGAGCCCGGTAAGCGCCCAAGATGTATGAGATAGCCTCAGCTGCAGGAAACCTCCAAACATGCAGCATGAGATAGGTTAACTCCAGGATCCGACGTGATATTCTAGTCGATAGGTGTGTCTTTGGGATGTTGTCATCTGAGGAGATGGGGTTAGGCGAGTTGGTCTTGAGGAGCGTCGCCTTTCTAAGCATGAAGATGATGCATGTATAGCCATTGAGCAGTAGATCCCCAAGAATCCACAAGTTGATCATATCATTTTCGTGCGCAGATCGTTGAACCCAATCCTCCTGCCTATTATTAGCGATCCCCGAGCACTCCGTGACATATTTTGAACAAGGTCATAAGTTAAAACTCACAATCCTCCATTCTTCGAGCAGCGACTCGATCTCGTGACAAAGAGGCTCAATAGAATTTACAGCTTCAGATTCGTTATCAAGCGTTTTGATCATCTGAAAAAAATGGATCAGAACGAAGGTGAGTCGGCTGCGGACGAGAAACGCAATGGTTGGCACTGGCGCATCGTTGTTCGGAGTCGAGTCGAGCGAGAGCCACGGCAAGTTAACCTGCCAGCTGTCAAGACTGCGGAACAGCTTTGCCGGTTTGTTGTAAATCAAGTGATAGAACAGATCTGTTTGGATAAGCTCCCACATGCCTCGGCGGTCGCCATCGGTTCTCGTGGAACCGGGTTCAGTTACTGCGAAGTAATCGTAGCCATCAAGACTGTGCAGGTGAAGGCCTTTGGCATAGTCGCAAGCTAGCTGGTGCATCTCCAAACTTGAGTCAAAGTCGAACATTTCCGTCGCAACTCCAGTCTTAGAGCAACCTGTCAGCATATAGACAGATTTTGGTAATGATTGGCTTTGGCTCACCATGAAGATGGCAGCAATGAAGTCAGTTATTGACCCGGTCGCTTCCTGCTGCCATGTTGGGATAGCACGCAAACAGCATAGGTAAAGCTGTCTCGCGTACTTTCGATCGGGACTATGGAAGGATCTAGTGTTGAGAATGTAGCATCCACGCCAAAGGATGACGTAGTACACAATAAGAATGCAAGGGTCGAGGGTGACATGCTTCATGGTCAGCATGTCGGGTATCATTTCAATCATTTTCCTGTCAACCAGACTGAGGAACGTTTCCGTGGGCGTGTAAGTGAAGTAGTCTGGGCCAAGGAATCAGTCATTAGTAAGAAATAATCGTGCCTGCGGCTGCGGGAGATTCTCACTGTGGATCCAAGTCCTTGCAAGTTCCGGTGGGATGAGAACACCCTCTGTGGTGATTGCTTGCAACCCAACAGTGCGCTTCAACCTCAGATCTCGGACCCGATCGAAGGTGTCGCTGAGAGTGTAGGCCACATCGAGTGGGGGAGATCCCGGAGAAATGCCCTCGGATGGCTTTGTTCTCAAATGCAAGAGCCCGATGCTGTCTTCAACAGATGGGATTGGGGAAGGATCCCCAGACGGACTTGGAGTGGAATATGGCGTCTCAGAGACATCATCGGTCGCACTGCAAGTAGACTTCTGCCGTTGCGACGAGGAGCCTGCAATAGGAGACGAGGGCTTGGACGAATATTTGCCCTCAATGCGTTGCAGCCGCTCGAGAATCAAAGACAGAGTCTCACTTTCAGAACTTTTACATGGATAGAAGCTGGTAAGCTTTTCATATTGATAAATGATGTGAAACGGAGCCAAACCTTTGATGCCGTGGTATCTCTTTTCTAATACTCTTTCTAGTCCGTCGCTGTGGATAGTGGCACGAGAGGCCTTGACTGTTGCATCGTTCGCATGTTGGGGTGTCTCGGCTGCACCTGACCTTGACTGGTATTAGTCAACATACTCACATGGAGTCTTGTTGGTCAGCACATACCTTCTTGCTTCTGCAATTTGAACACTGGTTTGTGATTCATCAGCCAAATTCCCGGCAATCTGTCATCCGATCCCAGCATAACGTTATGTAGGTCTCGGAAATATGGCCTTGGAGGCGGAACGAGATGGGTGTGAAATGGAAGCTTACCGACAGGCCATTCACGACAACAACCCCTGGCCGATCCATTCCATGGAGAGTCAAAAACTCGGAACATGCAGGCAGAGTGCGAACGTCCTGGGTGACAGCCAATGCGCGGGGGCAGCAGATGATTCAGGGATCGGAAGAACGGTTGGTGAGTACTGCGGGATGAAAGCGGTCGATATTGAGAGATGGAAAAGATGGAAAGTCCCAAGAAGACGCCAACCTGACACTGATGGATCACGTCGTTTGTCGAGTCCACGCCGCCGAGGGCACAGCTTTCTCCACAAAGAGATCTGGATTCAGAGTCATTCTCGCCGATTGACGAATGAGAAGCTTCTCATCCGCAGCTAGTGGCCCACGTTCCCGAGACTTGGAAAACACGGATCGTTAGCTGCTCCCAGCTGACATCCACCATTGCCCCATTAGGAGCTCCATCTGCAAAGCGCACCTCTCGGCGGGGTGGTTTGCTCGATTCCCATTGAACAACAGTTGCGAATGCCAAAAAGCCCCCACTTATCCGGCACTTCGCACTCTCCGAAAGTGCGGCTTGCCCTCTCGTCCCGCTGTTTCTCCATGCCGGGGGCGACGCCGGATCGGCCAGCCAAGGAACTTCGCACTTTCCGTGAAAACTTCATCATGTAGGGGTTCATTTCGAATCTTTGACTTTGTGGCCTTCGAGTCATTCACACGCGGTGAAGCTGACCGCTGGATCATCCGGGACCCCATCGCCAAGGACATTTCGTATTAGATGGAATACTTGAAGGCTTCGTAGTCTGCTTGTTTTCTCTTATAGTCGGGCATAGAGGTTCAGGTTTTGGTTTGATCTTTTGGTTTACAAAGACTTACGTTGGGTATCATTTTATCACCTGCAGATACACCCTTTCAGTCGATCTTATCACATCTTTCCTCACTCTTAGTTGTCTCTTGTTACCCTAATCATCTCACGACCGCCCCCCAATCAGCTATCGCATAAGCACGGTTCAACTACACAGGCGCCCGAAGGCTTGTTTTCGCAATGCCATCAACGGGCTTCTTTGAACATGACGTTCACAAGACCGGTGGTCAACAATACAACCTGGATGCCGACGCCATCCCGTCTGGCCAGTCAGATGCCGAGATTTCAGTCGGCGAGGAGATCAACGATCTAGCCAGGCGCTTGACAAGCGCATCTCGCCCTGGTGACCAGGGCCACTCCTTGTTTCCTGAGCCTTCCGACAAGACACTCAATCCCAACAGCGATGAATTTGACGCTCAAAAATGGGCCGCGGAGTTCTACAGAATTCAGACTCAAGCACTGCTTGGCAACGCGCCAAACAAGGCTGGCCTGGCCTTCAAAGATCTTCAAGTGTATGGCTTGGGCACCACGATGGACTACCAGAAGACTGTTGGCAACTTCGTTCTCCAAGCAGCATCGCTATTCTCGCCGTCGAAGAGACAACAGCGTATCGATATCCTTCACGGTTTGGAAGGCGTTGTCCAGAGCGGTGAGATGCTCGCTGTGCTAGGGCCCCCAGGATCTGGCTGCACCACGCTCCTCAAGACCATTACTGGCGATACCCATGGCTTTTATATCGCCGATGGAGCGACTCTCAACTACGAAGGCATTTCACCAGAAGATATGCGGACGAGCTTTCGGGGAGAAGCGATCTACACTGCCGAATTTGACTACCACTTCCCCTATCTGACAGTCGGAGAGACTCTCTACTTCGCTGCCAGGGCACGATGCCCCCAGAACATGGACCTTCCTGATGGTATCTCCAAGCACCAGTACGCGGAGCACCTGCGGGATGTTGTGATGGCAATGCTTGGTATCTCTCATACCAAAAACACCAGAGTTGGAGATGACTTCGTGAGAGGCGTCAGTGGTGGTGAACGCAAGCGAGTGTCTATCGCTGAGGCAGTCTTGAGCTATGCCCCGCTCCAGTGCTGGGACAACAGCACAAGAGGACTTGATTCCGCGAACGCGATCGAGTTTTGCCGAACTCTCCGCATGCAGGCAGACATCTTCCGCTGCAGTTCATGCGTGGCTATTTATCAGGCGCCTCAGGAGGCCTACGATGTGTGTTGAATCCAGACCCCAAAAAGACTGACATCAGAGTTACTTTCATGTGCTAACTGTGGATGCAGCTTTTCGACAAGGTCGTAGTCCTCTACGAGGGCCGACAGATCTACTTTGGGAAGGCGACAGAGGCAAAAGCCTACTTCGAAGGTCTTGGGTTCCAGTGCCCTGAGCAGAAGACAACAGCCGATTTCCTGACCTCCATGACCAGTTCTGCGGAGAGAGTGATCCACCCGGACTGGAGTGGAAAGCCGCCGCCACGGAGCCCTGATGAGTTTGCGCAAGCTTGGAAGGAGAGTCGAGATTGCCAGCTGCTCCTCAATGAGATCGACCGCTTCGAATGCGAATTTCCCCTGGGAGGCGACACTCATGCCAAATTTCTGGCTACACGACGAGCGCATCAATCCAAGCAGACCCGTCCGTCTTCGCCGTTCACCCTGTCGTTTTTTCAACAGGTCAACCTCAATCTCTGGCGCAGTTTCAAACTCTTGATCAGCGAGCCTTGGATGACGATCACCATGCTTTCGACCAACTTCTTCGAATCGCTCATTATTTCCAGCATCTTTTACAACTTGAAACCCGACTCGTCGACTCTGTACAACCGCATGCTCCTCATCTTCTACACCATCCTCATCAACGCGATGGGTAGCATCTTGGAAATCCTGACCCTCTACGGCAAGCGCAAGATCATAGAGAAGCATGCGCGATACGCCCTCTATCACCCGAGCAGCGAAGCCGTAGCCGCCATGCTTGTCGACCTACCCTACAAGCTGTTAAACTCGCTCTTCATCAACATCCCGATCTACTTCATGACCAACCTCCGACGCGAAGATGCGGGTCCCTTCTTTTTCTTTTTACTGTTCTCCTTCAGCATTACGGTTTCCATGTCCATGATCTTCCGCTTCCTCGGCTCGGTCACCAAGACGATCGCGCAAGCATTGGCACCTTCATCCATCACTCTGCTGGCCCTGATGCTCTTCAGCGGTTTTGCCATCCCTCAGGGATACCTTCACGATTGGATTGGTTGGCTACGCTGGGTCAACCCAGTGTTTTACGCCCAGGAAAGTCTTGCACTGAACGAGTTCGTCGGGCGTAACTTCAGCTGCGCGCAGTTCATCCCCTCAGGCGCAGGCTACACTGATTCTTCAGTGCAGCCCAGCGAGCGAGTGTGTGACATTGGCGGTGCCGCGCCTGGTGCTGACTTCGTCAGCGGCGAGGAACATCTTCGCGTCGTGTACGACTTTGACCCGAGCCATAGATGGAGGAACTTTGGCATCTTAATGGCCCTCACGATCTTCTTCATGGTGCTTTATCTTTTCGCCGTTGAGTGGGTTTCGTCTGAGAGATCTAGGGGCGAAGTCCTTGTTTTCACCCGCAACGCCCTGAAAAAGGTGAAGCGGGCCACGAAGGACGTGGAGAACACCGGTATCAGCCACTCGTCGTCGACAACTCGGCACCAGAGTGATAGCGACAGCCCGGACATCGCGAAGCAGACTTCGGTTTTCCATTGGCAGGATGTGTGTTACGAGGTACAGGTCAAGAGCGAGACTCGAAAGATTTTGCAGCACGTCGACGGATGGGTCAAGCCAGGCACTTTGACTGCCCTCATGGTAAGTTGCGAACCCACCCTTTCTTTACCTCGGGTCAATGCTAACGTTTCGATTGACAGGGTGTTTCGGGTGCTGGTAAGACCAGTCTTCTTGACGTACTCGCCAGCCGCGTGACCATGGGAGTTGTGAGCGGTCAGATGCTCGTTGACGGTCATCTACGAGATTCTTCCTTTCAGCGCAAGACGGGCTATGTGACCCAGCAGGATCTCCACCTCCACACCGCAACCGTTCGAGAAGCCTTGAGCTTCAGCGCTGTTTTGCGACAACCTCAGCAGTACAGTCGGGAGGAGAGACTGGCCTATGTCGATACCGTCATCGATCTTTTGGGAATGCAGGAATATGCCGACGCCGTTATCGGTGACCTGGGCGAAGGGCTCAACGTTGAGCAACGTAAACGCCTAACCATTGGCGTCGAACTAGCTGCGCGTCCTCAATTGCTTCTCTTTCTGGATGAACCCACGTCTGGCTTGGATAGTCAAACATCCTGGTCGATCTGTGATTTGATGGAAACACTGACGAAAAACGGACAAGCCATTCTCTGCACAATTCATCAGCCATCAGCGTCCCTTTTTCAGAGATTCGACCGGTTACTACTGCTGGCTAAGGGAGGGCGTACTGTGTATTTCGGCGACATCGGCCGCAACTCCCATGTCTTGATCGACTACTTCAGCCGTCACGGAGCGCCAGCCTACAAGTCTGGATCGAACCCAGCTGAGTACATGCTCGAGGTGATTGGGGCAGCGCCAAAGGCCCACACCGACATTGACTGGCCGACTGTATGGCGTGAGAGTCAGGAATCCCAGTCGGTGCAGAAGGAACTTGCGAGGCTTTCGGGCAGCCAATACGAGAAAGGCACCCAGGCCACCGCTGATGTTCATGACTCTGCGGCGTATGCTGAGTTTGCGGCGGATTTCCGAACACAAGTGCAAGAGGTAACGACAAGGGTCTTCCAGCAGTACTGGAGAAGCCCGTCTTACATCTTCTCGAAATCGGTCGTCACATTTGGCTCGGTAAGTTCGGATTCCCAAGCTCTTTTCTGCCGCAATACTGACCATGCAATTATTAATAGGCACTGTTCATTGGCCTTACGCTCCTGGGTAACGAGAACACCGAGCGGGGTCTCAAGAACCAGATGTTTGGCGTCTACATCTTCCTCTTCCTGTTCAACCAACTGGTTCAACAAATCATGCCCGCCTTCGTCCATCAACGAACGATGTACGAGGCTCGCGAGCGGCCGGCGAAAGCATATTCATGGAAAGCCTTCATTTT